AGGATTTTTGAAATCACTGCAGTGTTTGGAATAGTGATATTGTACTCTTAAGAAAAGCTATTCCAAACGTTTTAGAGTGAGTATCTGTACGGCTCCATGTGCTGAATGAGCCTTTTTGTCTGCTGGAAGCCAAACCCTCCACCCGTATTACCCAGGGCTGGAAGAACTGACGGTCTGTCCTGGCTTCCAGGGACACTGTCACTGTAGTTTCCAGTCTCGTGAGTGTAGTTCAGAGTCACTCCTAAACTAGAAAGGGAATTTGGGCTGAGATGAGAGGGGCGCAGAGCGGCTCCTGCCCTCGGCAGGCTTTCCTCTCGCGTCAGCCATCGATCACCCCAGTTCACGACCGACAGTGCCGCATTCACCAAGGCCGCACACCCTGTAGTTACCGTCTGCCCGCTCATGTTCGTACTGCGCTTGCTACGGGAACGTGGGTTTATTGGAGAAGGACGTGATGGAGGGGAGGGGAAGCCCATCGTGGCCCACTATGGCTCGCGGTGGTGCGCAGCTCGGTTCCCAGTGCGCTGGCGGCAAGGCGGAATGCCTTGAACCCCCTGTGGTGAAAGGGTAGCGCTCGCGATTCATGAACATTCAGCTTCCGAACGTGTGGCCAGGTTTTGACGCACGTAAGTGAGTGCCTTTTAGGTAAATGCTATCCCAGCGTTGGGTCACCCGAGTGTGAAAACGTAGAACTTGAGGAAGCGTTGCAGATGGTTGGCGTTCTCTGGGCGCTGGGTGACGTCCTGCCGCTAAAGGGCTCCATGCGGAGCTGGATGGGGTTCGCCACAGACGCGTCAACCTGTGAGCCCTTGAAGGAGGTCAGGAAGGATGGGGGGGAGATGAGCATTGCAAAAAGATTATGAGAAGCTTCTATGTTTCTTGGTGAAATTAATCATCTGTTCTTGTTATCTGTGCGCCAATTAAGAGGGGATTTTAATTTCTTGTTCTGCATCATTTACCCTTTACTTGGGAGAGGTTTCTTTCCACAGCATATTCGTCTTTTTGGCTCTGGCACAGATTCTCTAACATACAGATTTGCTGTTGTATCAACTTGTATAGCCAGGCTCACTATTGCCCTGTTTTGAATCTCCCCTTCTACTAATGTTTTAGTGCAGCTCCTTTTGCTTAGAGACGGCGATGAGCAGTCCGGAGCCGTCTTTCTGTGTTGCGCTGTCCGGATGAAAGGAGTTAACACAGAGAATAGGTGTTTTTGTGAAAACAGGAAGAATGAAGCAGGAGCTAGGTTCATCAGTCGGTTCCCAGCTTTTTTCTAGCTAATACACAAATCAAAAGCGCGTACCCGTGTGGCAGCAGGACACACTTGTCTCTGTCTCTGGGAACTATAAACTTCTGCAGTGTTTTTGCTGACTCTCCCATACGCATCTCTGACAATTACTCTTTCGCTGCTTGTACTTGCACCCAAAACTCTGGGAAAAATCTCTTCTGCTTTATGCGTGCCTTAAACTTGGCGTGATGGCTGTTCTTATTGCATGTATTTCTCAGAGAAAGCTTATTGCAGGAAAATACAACGTGTAGGACCGTTCCTTTGAAGATCTGCTTGGATCATGTGATATTTGCTTGAATTAATAGGATGACATAGATACGGCACTTCGGCAAGCAATGTGTTTCTGGAAAACGTAATTAAAAACTCTGTGGAGTGTTTACAGAGCGCCTCGTACCCCATTTGCTGTCTGTCCCCTGCAGCTTGCTGTGATCTGCAGTTTTTCTGCTTCGGAGAGCAGCAGAGCGCTCTCCCTCTGTCATCCCTGCCTCAGACTCGCCATCTCCTTCCAGGGAATTGGTTCTCTCTTTCTTTCTTTTGTCCACCCCGCTCAGCACACTCCAGTCTCTTAAAATTCAGCTTCGTAAGCAAAGTAAAGCATCGACTAAAGTTGTAAAATCTGGCTTTATCCTCCCTACCCCCAAAGAAAAAAACAAAACGCAAAAAGACCCCAAGTAGAGCAAAATGGGGATTGAACTGCCAACAGGTACGGGGGCTGCTCTTTGCATTTGACATATTGACAGCACGGCCACGGTCCTTCGTCACCAGGAGAAGGCTGTAGCTGCTTCCTTGGAGAAACCAGCTGTGTCACCGTGCAGCGGCTCTGCCGGCTTCTTTCAGAAAATTCAGTTATCTCATGTTTGTAAAATGGCTTTGGGTGAGCTCCAAGAAGTGGGGAATTGTGTCAATGGAAAGAACCCAAAAGTTAGCAATCGATAAAGGCTGCAGCCCAAACTGAGCCACTCTGACTTGCAAAATGTGCTTGCCTGAAGGTGAAGTCACTGTCACGGGGTGGACACCCGAACGGTGTTGTAACATACTGCCATTTTTATGTAAATTCTGGGAGAGCAGGGGAAAAAAACGCTGGGAGGGGGAGGATGGGGTAAGAGACACAAAATGGTATTTCTCTTGGTCTGTCCGTACGCTCCTGTGTGCGAACACCGAATGGGGGGAAATCCCGCAGCCTTGCCGTGCTCCTGCAAACCCACCACGTCTGACCCTGCCGCAGAGCTCCGCACCGGCATGCCCAACCTCCGGGCTGGCAGCCCGCGCTGACCCACTCTCCACGGATTTCCCCAACCTTTTTTTGAAACCATTTTGAAAATCTGTTTTGTCCTCTCTCGCAGCCAGTGGCAGGGAGCTCAGTTTTATTTTCTTCTGCCTGGAAAAAGTGGTTCAGCTGCCGTACGCGTGATCTCGTGTTGCTCTCGCGTACCGGGGGTGTTCCTCAGCGAGCACAATGTGGTCTGCTGCGTACGTGCTTGTGTGAGCCGAATTCCTCCTCGGGCCAAGGCAGGTCTCGTCTTCCCTCCTCTTATTCCCGTCGTCTGTACGTAGCTCCTACACGCCTCTGTCCTTGTTGCAGAGTATGAGATGTAAATTCCACCGATTCAAAGCTGCTGCAGTAAACTGTCCACCTTACTTAGCTACAAATTTACTTGGTTTATATATTTCAGGAACTATATTTTTTTTTACTGCCGCTCTGAACTTCATTTGCAGTATATTTTGCAAATGCATTCTTCCTGTAGGTGGCTTATTACTTCGGGATGCTGTGCAAATAGCAGCTATTCTGCTTGTGTCAAAAGCTGCAGAAGAGGGTTATTGTTTCCTTAATGTGCCATTACCTGGGGAGCACATATGCACTGCGTAAAGGAGACCAGAAAAGAACTGTTTGTCTGCAAAATTCGGAGTTGCACAGCTTTCACTCAGCAAACAGCGGGGTTTTTCTGTTCGTGAGACGGCGAATTCTTGGGAGGCAATCATGCCTGTGAGCATTAGGCGCTTCCCGCGTTGGCGTATCCATCACAGCTCGTGTGTCTGTCTGGATAATCAATGGGGAGCGATGAGCTCCTCTGCAGTGCCTTCGCATGGTCTGTGCCGGAGGCTCTTTCTGAAGGTGATGAATTGTGCCCCGGCAGCGTGGTTCGGTGAGCCCGGCCAGCTCGGATGTAGACATCTGCGCTGCGGCCGGCTCCCACGGCGTGATACAGCTCCTCCACAGGTCTGCAGTGCAGGTGTCTCCTGCACGGACCATCCATCCTTTGCGCTTACCATGTGCTCTTTGGACATTGGAGGGGCTCGGGGCATGATTTATCGGGTCAAATGCACCAGTTTTAGGTGAGAAGACTCTCAGGTGTGCGAGGTGACTGGCTCCCATGGATGCACCTCCGAATGGTCCGGGGAACCCCCGTGAAGTGATGTGTCTCGCTGAGCGCCGGAGGCCGGTCTGCATCTGGCTGCACAGCTGCATCGGTGCTGAGCACAGGATCGTGGCGGTGGATAAAAGCCATCACAGTAGATGATTTCAGAATGATCCAGATTTTGGGATTCTTTGAGGTTTTATCGTAGTACAGCAAAGTTAGTAATCTTCCTAATAAATGTGTTACTGTACTGGATCAGCTGCAAAATCTGTTCAACTCGTTACCTTCTCCGTGAGAGCAGTCTGTAGTGGAGAACCAGCAAAAGTGTCCAAGGGCAAAGTAAGCGTATTCCTTGATAGATCTTCATCCCTCACTTGGCTAATTATTCTTTGGACAAATCTTTGATGCGCTGTTAACCCGTGGCAGTGATATAGCCCGACAAAAGGACGTCACATTTCAGGCACCCTCACCACTGTGAGACAGTGTTAATAATCATTCCCTATTAACCAGGCTGAAGAGTCCAATCTAATTAATCTTTTCTAAGATAGAAGCCACTCCACCAATATGGAAATCAGACTCACTGCGGTGCGATCCCCAACTCGGCAGGAGCACTGCCAAATTCCTCCCCAGCGCGTCCGCAGCGAACGTCAGTGCAGAGAGTTCAGTTTATATATTTTAATGTGAATAATTCTGTAGAAATCTCCCCGGTTTAATGAAATCTAGTGGTGACCAGCGCTGTATTTTAACTGTGTGTTTTTCAGTATTAATGCATTCGGTTTACTCCGGTGTGTGAAGGTCATTTCTTTAATTTCATAGCATTTTTCAAGGTGTTTTGTCTTCATAAGGTTCCTGCAGTTCAGCTGGTTTCTAGCGTGATGGAATTCATATTGATGAAGACAGCAGATTGCAGGAATATGATCGTGAATGTAATGACAGGAAGGAGGGTCTGAGGAATGTGCCAGTGTGGGATTTCTGGTCTTGAGATCTTTATCTGAATGAGAGGTGGTTTGATTTATTTTTGTTGTTGGTTGTTTGGGTTGTTTTTTTTTCACAATGATGCAATGAGACCTGGATTGGGGCAAATAATATACTAAATAGCTGTACCTTTTTTTAACAGAATATGTCCGACACTAAACAGTTTATGTAGAGACTCTACGGAGAGCGTAATGTGAGCATTTGTGTGTCATATGCTCGTCGAAAAGTTGTCCCAAAGCAGAAGATGACCATAGTTTCGGTAGATGGAGCTAAAATGGTTTTTGTCCATACGAAGGAGAATAATATTGTAGCTCTGGAGCTCGCGGAGACAGGAAGGCAGAGCATCTGGTTTTATTTCAACCTCTTCTGCCCTTTTTTTTCAGGTCGTATCTGACTCCGGTGCGGGATGAGGAAGCAGAATCCCTGAGGAAGGCACGATCCAGGCAGGCCCGGCAGACTCGCAGGTCTACACAGGTGAAGAGTGGAAATACTCATGTTCATGTGTCGGATGGAGAGAACTGATGTATAACGAGGCGGGATTTTCTTCTGCTCTTCCATTACTACTTAGGACGAGGGACTCGTCTGCCCTCAGCGTGTTGGAGAGGTTCTGGCAGAAGCCAACAGTTGTTACAGAATACTCCCCCTAGCACGCACGAGTTAGATTTCAAAGTTCTCATTTCTGCGGTATGGTTGTCTTTTAGTTTGTAGCTTGGTCACGTATATTCGAGTTGCTTTGAGTCAGCGCTTAGGTAGGTACACTGAGAAATGTGTTAAAGGCAACAGGATTCTTTCTTTTCTGTTAGCATAACGATGAAGCATTAGCCTGGCCGGCTATAAACCTGCTGGGCGTTTAAACTGACCTGGAAGACTTGAAATCTAATTGCATAAATGTAAAAAACCTCTCTCACTCTCTCTGCAGGGTGTGACGCTGACAGACCTTCAGGAGGCAGAGCGAACCTTCAGCCGGTCGCGGGCAGAGCGGCAAGCTCAGGAACAGCAAAGCGAGAAATCCGGGAGCGCTGAGCCGGCCGAGGAGAGCAGCGAGAGGCAGGAGACCCGGTCACGGTGGAGCAGAAATACAGATGAGGAGGTGATCCTCCTGGCCTCGCTTCTCACTGCTTCAGAGTTAATGAAACCATTTAGGAGAGCTGAGATCGGGAGAAATCCCTTGGGGGATCTGTGTATTTTGAGGGGGCCAGGCTGGCTGGAAGGAGGGCAGGCTGGGGAGTAGTGCCGCACCTCCGCCATCTGCACGAGCGATGGGGATGTGTAGGTGTTAGAGGTTAGCTGTTCCTTTGCTCTCCCCTGGGAACTTCGCTTTGCTGTCCCTTGCCAGAAAATAAAACTGTGTAAATCACAGAAAGTGGAAGGAGAAGGCTCATGATAGAAACGTGGCCTGGATCCATCCTTGCTGTGCAGCCTGGGCCGAGGCTTTGTGTTCGCGTTTTTCCACAGATGGTCCGTGTGTAATGGAAAGTTAGAGGGACCAGTTTGCCCCCCTGCCATCGCTTCTGGTTTTTTACTCTAAATCAGTCATTGCTATCAGATAGCTTATTTGTCCTGCCACTGGCTGTAGGGACAGAGACTGATCCCAGACTTCCCAGCAGTGGGAAGGTGTTGTCGCATTGTAGCTGTACAATGCTTCTAACATTCATCCCAGTCTGATGGAATGACCCTGACCTGGCGGGTGTCACTGACCGCTTCCAGCAGCAGTGCAGGAAACATTACACTCTAAAAGCTTACCCAGTTCCCTGAAATGCCAAATCTGCTATTCCTCTTCATTCTACTAACTTTTTGTCATGGTTCTTTGTTTATAGACTGTCTATCGGCGATTAAGGTGCCCAGTACAGCCAGACAAACCTACGACACCTGTATCTCCTTCGACATCAGCACCTCTCCTTTATACAAGTTCATACCTGACCCGAACAAATAAGTACCTGGGTCTTGACTCTGTGAATCCAGCAGACTTCAGAGGTGCAGCCACAGAGATGGAAAAAAATGGTACGTACCCAGGAGAATGAGGAACAGCCAAAGCTCAGGGGTTTTCATGAGTTTTAGACCTTTCGATATGTACAGACAGAATAAGTTTACTTGTAATTCTGAGGGGAGCGGTATGGGGAGCTGCTGTCTCACCAGACAAATGTTGTTTGTTTAAATGGAAATCCTAATGTGGGCTACAGCCTATTGCTTGTAACAGAGAGGGATAAAAGGATCTCATCCATTTTGGGTGAGTAAATGAGAGAGTAATCCATGGAGCACTGAGATCTTAGAGCTGGGGGTAGTGATTCCACTAGTACAGTTTGTCCTCATAATAGGAGTAATGCGGGATGATTTGGGGAGAGCTGACAGCTAGGGTAACCACTGTGGGCTCTGATAAAGGAAGAAGTGTGAGTAACCAGATGTAGTAGGGCGCTGAGATTCCATTTCATTTGGTTTAATAACTCCTTTGTAATACAACACAAGCCAAGATGACCTTGATCAGCTTGAAAAGAGCCCCAGTACTGTAGCAAAAGCACAGATGTAAATCACTGAAACCAAAGCAGTCTTCCTTTGCTTGGCCAGAGTGTGAAGATCAGGATTTAGACGACAGATCTCCAAACAAACAGTCAATCCGAGAGAGGCGGCGGCCAAAAGAGAGGCGAAGAGGCACCGGCATCATTTTCTCGACAAAAGATGTAAGTTTGAGTTCCTTAGAGAGGAGAAACTTGTTCTGTCATATTTGGGGTGAATTTCCTTCCAATTCCAAGCTCCACATTTTTTCCACGTCAGTTGGTTTCCCGTTAGTCCTTCCCTCTCCAACTCTATTGCAGACTGGCACTTCCAAAGGAATCGCATTCCTGTTTGGCCTGTGTAAAACCCAAGCAGCGGGCTCTGGGAAGCCATAAATAGTGCGATCCTTGCAGAATTGTGAAAGAGCCCGCATGGGAGAAGAGAGGTTAGAAGTCTAGTTTCTTTGGAAGAAGGTCACGAGCCACTGGAAGTATTTTCAAATTCCTCTGAGCCCAAATTTGGCTCTGATTTAGGCCCCCTAAAGGAAGACAATGAGGAATAAAACCTGTGTCTGGATCCCCTGTCCACCACCAGGGAACACACAGCATAAATGCAGAAGAGCTGTCTGTGTCGTGGCCGTTTCTCTTAGTCATGGTTTCAAAAGGATTTCTTCAGTCTGAGGGAAGAAATCCAGCCCTCCAAACCTTGGCTAGAGACTCAGGGGGAAAACAGATCACCTTTTTCAGGAGAGAGTAAGTATTATGAAGTCGTGGTTAAGAAGTCTGCAACAATCCCAGCCCAGCTATGGGCATTCGGCCTTCTTCATCCACCTCAGGGGTAGAGGCTTCCAGCACGAGACAGTGGAAAAAGCCCCCAGTGGTCTTCCCTGTGGCAGCAGTAGGTATGTTGAGTATTTGGAGTTACAGATGAGTTGAATGGCCCTGCTGGAAGCCTCAGAATTTCTATTGAAAGACTTCCCGCAAACACCCCCTTTTTATTATATTCAAATGATTCTTACATTTTTTCACTTGCATGCCAAGTGTGATTTTTTTTTTCTTATTGTTTTTTTTTAGTTAAATGCTTTACAGCTTCCCCAGTTGTCTACTGGATCATTGTAGCAATATTAGTAGCTTCAGAGCAGAAAGCAAAGCACTGCACAGAATCACAGAATAGTTTGGGTTGGGAAGGACCTTGAAGGTCATCGAGTCCCACCCCCTGCCCTGGGCAGGGACACCTCCCACCAGCCCAGGTTGCTCTTCTTCCTAATATGTCATCTCAGTCTCCCCTCTTCCAGTTTGAAGCCATTCCCCCTCATCCTATCACTCCATGTCCTTGTAAAAAGTCCCTCCCCCGCTCTGTTGTAGCCCCTTTAGGGACTGGAAGGCCACAATAAGGTCTCCCCGGAGCCCTCTCTTCTCCAGGCTGAACACTCCCAGCAGAGGGGCTCCAGCCCTTGCAGCACCTTTGTGGCCTCCTCTGGCCCCACTCCAACAACTCCATGTCTTTTCTATGTTGGGGGCTCCAGAGCTGGATGCAGTACTCCAGGTGGGTCTCACCAGAGTGGAGTAGAGGGGCAGAATCCCCTCCCTCGCCCTGCTGGCCACACTTCTTCTGATGCAGCGCAGGATACGGTTGGCCTTCTGGGCTGCGATTGCGCGTTGTTGGCTCATGTTGAGCTTTTCATCCACCAACACCCTCAGGTCCTTCTCCTCAGGGCTGCTCTCCAGCCATTCCCCGCCAGCCTGGATTTGTGCTTGGGATTGCCCCGACCAGGGGCAGAAAAAACTTCTCAGAGTTTTGGTTTTTTTCCCCGTTGTCTCTTTATGAAACTGCAGCTACACCTGCTGAAACAGCTTGAGTTCCGTAGGGAGGCAGAGGTGGTGCCATGGTAGTTTAGCATTGCTCCATGAAACCCTGGTGCTGTTACAAAGCGGCAGTGGGATACGGAGAGGCTGCGTATGTGCGGGCTATCTGGGATGACTCGTCTTTCCTTCTGGAGTCTAATTGAAGTGGATGATACTCTGAAAATGCGTGTTTTGTCAACATTTCAGATACGCAGTCTTCCCAAGTATCATGTTTGTTCCCTAAGTACATTAAGGAGTGTTACTCCTCATACTTGACTTCAGGAGCATTCCAATTGCAGTGTCCATCTCAAGAGAGTAATTCTGTTGCCAGTACCAAGATCTTCTGAATGGCCATCAGGTTACCAAACCTTGTCTGACAGTCAGCCAAGAACATCCAGACAGGCATTTCTTTTGAAAGACTTGGTGTTGGCTTTGATGTCAAATCAAAAGCAATACATTATCTTCCTGTGATAAAACTTCGTTGTCTCCAAGGCTGCCTAATTATACTGTTTGCTTTTCGTTCTAGGATGATGATGAAGTTGATGGAAATGAGGAGGTGAAGGAAACTCGGGTAAGTGAAAACATCAGTCTAAATAGTTGGTGTTTCACTCTTGAGTGTTGGTGGCAAGAAGTCTTCTATGGCTTTACTTTTGTTGATATGAGAAGTTCAGGCTCTGTTCAGGAGCTGAGTATGACCTGGGAGGTCGTTCTGAGTAGCAAATCGCTCACCGATTTCTCATCTGAAAGACAGAGAATATCTACAGAGTGGCCTAAGTTCAAAAGTTGGCTCTTCAAGAGCTGCATAGGCAATTCTCAAACCTGGAGGGAGTGGAGCAGAAGCGGGGGTGAGTGTCTTACTGAGAGCGCTGTCAGGAGCTGCGCTGGCTGGGGAGCGTGGCTGTCGGGTGTCCCGAGGAAGGAGCACGACCTTGTATCTCAGAGTCGCCCTGACGTGGTTATTTTGGACAGTGTGTTTTGTATGTCTAAAATTTGCGCTCTTGTCTCCTCATGGATTTGTTTTCTTGCGGGAAATCGTCTTGGCAAGCAATGCATGAAAGATTGTTCATTGTTGCCCTGTTCTTGCAATAGCCTCATTATCCTTCGAGGCCCTTTCTTTCCTTTTATAATAATTATTGAGTCCTTCCAAATTGCCTTGGTTTCTTTAGCCTTTGTTTGTCTTTATCTAAAACACATTTGAGCCTGACAACATGACTTACTCTGACGATGTTAAAGCTCAATACGTTTCCAAACCATTAAAGCATGATGTGCAAGACCTGGGAGAAACAGCAAATCTAAGGTTGGATAGGGGTCAGCCTGCTTGTGTGACCTTTAGTCTTTGCCAGCAAACGTTGAGCTTACGATAGGCTTTCCTCATACTTTGCAATTCGGTAGAGTGATTGAAGCATCATTTGATTGAAAAGTTAACTGGTTTTTTTTCCTGAAAAATTTCAGTAACGCTCTTCAGAGTGTATTTTTGTTTTGATTTCTGCAATATTCGGTCAAAATGGGGCAAAGTCACGGTGGGCCTTGTGGGGACCACAGACTCATGTGGGGCTGGGATGGCTTTTAGCACGTGCTTATCTTTCAGTGCCAGCTTTTGCTTTCCCAGGGCTTGCTTTGCACCGTGAAAAGCTGAGTATTCCTTCCTGCAGAAGCATCACCTGCTTTGGGTAGCCCAGCTCTTCCCACAGAGTTTCTGTTCGTAGCAGTACACAGCTTCGTTCAATCTTCCACCTAACCCTGCATGAAAGATTCAGCCATTTATTGTCCTCAAAGTTGTTTTGACATGTCTGTCCTCTCACAGTAAGACTGAAGGAGGGATATTTTGTAACGTGTAAAAAGTAATCATAATAGAATCATAAAATCATAGAATGGTTAGAGTTGGAAGACCATCTAGTTCCACCCCCTGCCCTGGGCAGGGACACCTCCCACCAGCCCAGGTTGCTCCAAGCCCCATCCAACCTGGCCTTGAACACCTCCAGGGATGGGGCAGCCACAGCTTCTCGGGGCAACCTGCCCCAGGGGCTCACCACCCGCAGAGGGAAAAACTTCTTCCTAATATCTAGTCTAAATCTCCCCTCTTCCAGTTTGAAGCCATTCCCCCTTGTCCTATCACTCCATGCCCTTATAAAACGTCCCTCCCCAGCTTTCTTGTAGGTGCCCTTCAGATACTGGAAAGCTGCTATAAGGTCTTCCCGGAGCCTTCTGTCCTCCAGGCTGAACACCCCCAACTCTCCCAGCCTCTCCTCCCAGCAGAGGGGCTCCAGCATTATGTGCGTATATAGGTATGTGTGAGAGATAAAGAGAGATACATAGGTATGATAAGGATTTTTGAAATCACTGCAGTGTTTGGAATAGTGATATTGTACTCTTAAGAAAAGCTATTCCAAACGTTTTAGAGTGAGTATCTGTACGGCTCCATGTGCTGAATGAGCCTTTTTGTCTGCTGGAAGCCAAACCCTCCACCCGTATTACCCAGGGCTGGAAGAACTGACGGTCTGTCCTGGCTTCCAGGGACACTGTCACTGTAGTTTCCAGTCTCGTGAGTGTAGTTCAGAGTCACTCCTAAACTAGAAAGGGAATTTGGGCTGAGATGAGAGGGGCGCAGAGCGGCTCCTGCCCTCGGCAGGCTTTCCTCTCGCGTCAGCCATCGATCACCCCAGTTCACGACCGACAGTGCCGCATTCACCAAGGCCGCACACCCTGTAGTTACCGTCTGCCCGCTTGTAACTCTTTGACTGCGACCATCCGGCCAATTTCTTCTCCACTGACTGGTCCATCCATCAAATCCATGTCTCTCTAGTTTAGAGACCAGAATGCCGCGTGGACAGTGTCAAATGCTTGCACAAGTCCAGGTAGATGTTGTCAGTTGCTCTCCCCTGATCCACCAACGCTGTAACCCCCTTGTAGAAGGCCACCAAATTTGTCAGGCATGACTTGCCCTTGGTGAAACCATGTTGGCTGTCAGCAGTCACCTCATTTTCCATGTGCCTTAGCAGAGTTTTCAGGAGGATCTGCTCCGTGATCTTGCCGGGCGCAGAGGTGAGACTGACCAGCCTGTAGTTCCTCAATTCTCCTTTTCTTTTTTGAAAATGGAGGTTATGGTTCCCCTTTTCCAGTCAGCGGGAACTTCACCGGACTGCCACAACTTTAATAATAATAATAATAATAATAAATAGGGACACCTTGTTTCCAGCAGTCGTGTTGTGGACTTGCTGGGAATGTCTTGTTCTGGGAAGCTGTCCCAGATTAGCTAAATTAAGACAAAAGAGTATCTGAGGCTTCAGGTTTGGAGGCTTCTTAGAGTCTAGTCCTAAAATTACTAGAAACTGTTGAGCACAGCCCTCACCGCTCTTGTAAATGGGTAAACTGCACTGCGTAAGAACCCACCACATGTTCCTGCCCAAAAATTCCGGGTCGCCCAGTCTCTTACAATTAATGATTCTGTTTTTCTGCAAAATAAATAGCAAGTGATGCTTTTGTTTTATCCTTCCCACGATTTTCTTGCAGGTTCCCATCTAACAGCAGAGCAACTTCCCTTCCGTTCCCTTGGTCCCATTGTGCACGTGCTCTGTGGCAGCAGTCCCTTCTTTTCTTACGCACCTCACGTACGTCAGACCATGGCTGAGACTCTCCTTTCACTCTGGGGCTGGTTTTCCCATTCTCCCAGTCCTCTTGTTTTTATCCAGTTTCCATTTCATTTTCTTTATGGCACGCCTCCAGCGTCACGTCACTTGGTCAGTCATAGAATCATAGATTGGTTTAGGTTGGAAAGGACCTTGAAGATCATCGAGTTCCAACCCCCCTGCCATGGGCAGGGACACCTCCCACCAGCCCAGGTTGCCCAAGACCACGTCCAGCCTGGCCTTGAACACCTCCAGGGATGGGGCCTCAACAACCTCTCTGGGCAACCTGTGCCAGTGCCTCACCACCCTTAAAGGGAAAAACTTCTTCCTAATGTTTAATCTAAACCTGCCCTCTTCCAGTTTATAGCCATTCCCCCTCGTCCTGTCACTCCATGCCCTAATCACTACATGCCCTGACATGCCGTACATGTCTTCCCTGGTTTATTGGCCATCCAAATCAGAGAGCTTTCTGTCCTGCTAACTGGCCGTCGGTTTGGCAAGAATCATGGAGCAGCCCCTTGCTTGCAGGTCTAGTGCCAAGCAGGAAGTACAATTAATAATCATTAATTCATCAATAATAATAATAATTCTAGAACATCAGATGTCACCATCAGAGTGGTGAACTTGAACACACTGAAGTGTCCCGTTTTGGTTGCAGACCCCCAAAGATTCTCCTGATTTTATGTGAGTAGTTATTTTTTCCCTCCAGTGTTCCTCTCTTGGCTGATATTAGGAGAATTTTCATTTTCAAGCCCTGCTCCAATTCCTTCCTCCAAACTCTGCAGCACTGAAGTTTAAGCAAAGGAAAGGTAAATGCCATTTTTGAAGGGGAAAAAAAAAAAAAGAGCAAATACATGTTGTTCTAATTCTCAGAAGTGGATGAATTCTTTTGGCTGAAGCTCATGAGCACCAGCGTGGGAAACCAGCCCAGACACTTTGGCTGAGTTTTAGGCAACAGCGCGCGGTCTCGTAATAGGATGTTTCAGGCAACCTTCGTGTGTGCTGCTACCAACCCCGCCTTTCTCCTTGTGTTGCGGACTGCTCGGATGCACTGTGAAAAGTTGGAAGAGCAGACAAAGTTTTATTGTGGAATAAATGTTCAAGGGCACAAGGACTTCAGCCGGAAAAAAGCCTCTGGGGAGGCAGCTTTAGGAGAGGGTTTTTGCCTGGTTCCACTGGGAAGGATTTGTTTGGTTTGGGGTGGCCCGAGCTCAGACCAGAGATGGGGAAAAAACTTTGGCTGCAGTCTCGTCTCCGTTTCTCAGAAAGTAAAAATGGTGAGAGTGCGAAGGACCCTGTTAGTCCGGGCTGAGCAGTGGGGGTTGGCTGGCATTGGGAACCCTCTCCTGCTCCCTGCAAGCCCGGGACTGAGGGACGTCAGCGGGAATTCAGTCGTGGTGGGGCCAGCGAGTGTGGATACAGCGCAGTCGGTGAAGATGTGGATCGGTGGGTCTGTTTGGGATGCGGCATTTGAAGGATGATGATGAAGACTGAAGGGAATGGTCCGATGTTACACTTTGGAGAGGTTTTCCTTATCCCTGGCTCTTCTGGCCTCGACTTACACCTGACTTCTGCCATTGCTATTACACAGCAGGAGAAATTGGGAATAAATTTGGAAGAAACGTGTATTTTAAATGAAATACCGTACATAACAGAGGTAGAAAAATGTTTGTAATCATTTAAAGAATTTTATCTGCTTGCATTTCTCTTTAGTGGCGTTACAAATGTGCCTCACCCGTGTGTTAGATAGTTCATCGAGGGAAAGCTTTAAATACAGAGAAATGCTCTGAGTGTCAGGCTGGTAAAGTAACAATTTCTGGGCAGTAAAAGCGTCAAAAGAAAAAAGTCTGTTCTCATGAACCTCCTCTAGGACAGTCTGTATAGCTCAGTATAAAACCCAGACACATTAATGGAATTAACTCCTATGCAGGAATAACACTGAAAC